GAGAGAGAGAGAGAGAGAGAGAGAGAGAGAGAAAGCGATATCTCGCTTGAGCGGTTGGAAAACGCGTGAATTTTTGAAACCATCTCGTGGCATAAAGCACGGTCGATAGCACAGCCGGCTACGTCGATGTTCGATGGGCAGCTCACTCATTGGCGGTGGGCCAATAACAGAAACGGCACGCCGCTGCTGCCCCATCATGATGCACAGGCACGACAGTTGGAAAACAATGACACGCGCGATACATCGCGGAACGCAGTACGAATGAAACCCTACGAATGAAGCTGGCGGGTGACATGATCGACACGATAACGCGGAGCAGGTTGTCGTCCCTTCGCAGGACACCGTTACCCGATATTGTTACGTGTCGATAACGCAACAATCGTGTCATCAATTCGCGGGAGAAAATGCGCTTTATGACGCTTTACACGTCATTTCACGAGTTCGATTTGTTCGGTTTTCAAAACCAGCCGGTGAAACGGCGATCTTCGATACGAACAGACGACGCGGGGCGATTTAAATTGCATCGGAAGAAAGGAAATCTCGCGGATGCGTCCCGAATAAAAAATCGTAGGATCTTTCCTCCCCCCCGCGAGTAGTTTGTCAGTTTCGGTGCTCAGTTGGAGCTTAACTTTCTGCGATTCAACGTTATTTCTCACAAATCAGCGAATACCCAATATTTCCTCGTTTTGATTTCATCTCATTTCAATCTAATAAATGAAAAAAAACACAGAAAAATTTTGGTCCAATGATCAATTCATTAATCAATGTTCGACTTAATGTTATTTATGTTGATTAATGTCCAATTATTCATTGATACAACAACTTGAATTTATTTATATAATTAAATATTCATTCTTGCAATAAATTCTAGTAATAATTTTATAATCTAAAAGTTTATTGGACCAATTTTCATTAATTGAAGAAATATTTTATTGTATTTACGTATAGTTTTGGTTCAGTATATATTTTTCATAGCTAAACTAGTATACGAAATACACTCTTTGCATTTAAAGTACTAGATATACGTTTAAAATTTGGAGAAAGCGAAAAGGAAATTTCCAGTACAGTTCAGTATAGCAATAAAAAATTCGAAGAATCTTTATCCTTTGGAGGAATTTATGGAGATTCCGCAAAAACATAGTTTGCTGACTTTAATTGTGCAGCGATTTGAATGCTGAATCACACGAGACTAGCCTGAATTTGACCAATCAAATGATTTCCATTTTAATCTATTCCTTTCTGATTGGCTGAATTCTAATTCTCGATTCGCAATCCTTAAAATTTAAACAATGCGTAGTGTGGATAAGACAGTTTCGTACTGTTTACGTTGTTTACATTACTTTGTATGTTTTTAATTCCTGACATTATTTCCAGCAAAGTTTTTTGTCCCCTTCGAGATTTCCGGATAGCATAAAAAAAAAAAAAAAGAAAATTGAAACGATTTACGCAAGTTACACTTTTGCGGAGAATTTTATAGGATAATTTTACGTTCGCGGTATTGCGCTCTACGACGCACATTTCATAGAAATACGCCATCGGCTGCTACCAGCTGATCGCCATGCCATACGGAGCCTTTCTCCTATCCGTCAGCGAACCCACCGTTGTCCGCCTCCGGAGACTCCCGTTAACCAGAAATTGTATAGTCGGTGTCAGAATGCGTGGTTGGGATACCTTCTTTTACTAGTAGCTCTCTCAATTTGCTTTTAAGACCGAGGGCAATAATAAAAATGCAACACCAAACGTATTCATGTATTCAACCAAGATTATCATATTGTTTTAACGAAGTGTGAAACAAATGAAAGTTTCTTCCTACATCGTACACGGATTACGTGACTGTTTCTATCGCCTTTAATAGGTGCGAGCGACTATTTATTAAATGTAATCGACTTTGTGTCCGGTTTCAACAATACAGATTAATTTTAATCTCGATTTGACTTGTTCTTCATCTTTTTCTAGTTTTATATATAAGAATTAAGAATAAAAGCTATAACACACAAAGAACTTGAGAACAGGATAAACGTAAACAATAAGCAATCACATTTTAGACCTGCTTCTACTGAAAAAATCTTCATTTGAAAGAAATATTTTTTGCTCAAATTTTATTTAAATTATTTTAAAAAATTATTTCCTTGGGTCAATGAAAACCATCTTTGAAATTAAGATATTTATTTTATTTGTAAAAACAGAAATAATGTTTTTTTCAAATATGAGCAGAGAAATATTTCTTTAAAATTAAGATTTTTTTTTCAGTGTATTATCTTACGTTCTTTACTGTAATTGTTCGATTAGTTTACCGCCTTACGTTTTTGCTTAAATTGAATCGAGATTAAAGTTCAATCTACATTGCTTCAGTAAAAACAGCAGTTTTGCAACTGTTGTAAGATCTTTAATATTATTAATCTATACACTTAGATCCAATAATGAATTAAGGATAGAATCAATTACATATATTATTCTTTTACAGAACGCAGTCATTGGTAGAGATGAATATTAGAGATAACATCAAATTAGACTGGGTCCACAATCTTGCTTTAAGATGCCGTAAGCCGTAAGAATTTGACCAATCACAGTCGATTATTTTTCTCGCGTTCAACTATGATTGATCAATTTCTTACGACTTTACGGTTTAGGGCCTCTTAGTTTTGTGGACCCAGCCTTAAACTTTCGACTATTAAATATATGATGAAGTAAGTAAGAAACATACGACTGGAGTAACTCCGCGCACTAAAAATCATCTTTCGAGAAAAGTTCTATTTACTTTTGATTGCGATAATATTTTTCGTAATGAGTTCTTCACAGGTTTCTCAAAATGTCAGAAGCATCAAATCAACTTGTAATTAAATTTGGGGGATTGGCAGTATTTCAGATCGATTATGTGTCGAAAGTCTGAAAGCAATCGGCATACAGTAATATTTCTGAGATTTTATTTGAAATACGTATATATGTATTAGTCTAACGCGTCTAACTTTGACCGTAATTGGTGTTTCTCGTATTAAATTGATCTATTTACTTTTTGCTCCCTCTCTCTCTCTCTCTCTCTTTCCTTTCTCCGTAGCTTTCATTTTACGTTTAAAATAACGGAGAACGTTTCGAGAGAGAAGCCGTTATTATTCCTCCTGTCAACGTGTCGTAGCGTAACGGGGCGCGGAATCGCGGTTTCATTAACGGGAGCGAATCGATAATCTCGTCGATGACAAAACCGGCGGATCGACCAGCGACGATCGATCTCCGCGAGCGTGCTCTCGACGATTTGGATAAAGTATACACGACGTGAACGCGGCATTGTGTAGCATGCAGGTAACAGGGGAGGGCCTGTACCTGTCGGCGCATGTTTTGATATCGCGAGCCGTATTAAAAGCGTCGTGGAAGAACCGGCAGCCGCGCGAAGCCGGCTGTCAGCGGAAGAGAGAAAAGACGAAAAAGACGAAAAAAAAAAAAAAAAGAGACAAGACGAGGAGGGCAGGAGAAGGGAGAGATAGAGAGGGGGCGGGAACGGCGCGCAGACGGATTCCGCCTGGTAGCGCCATCTGGACGTGGTCGCGGGCGGTACTAACCCGCTTTTCCCTCTTTTTCGTGATCCGCTCCGCGGCGTAAACTCTGTCACCCAGCTCCATGGCTCGACGATGACGGGAGAGAAACGGTCTTTTTAATCCCGACGTCCTGAGCAATCCTCGGTCGGCTTGTGGCTGCGTATCACGTGCGGTATCCTGTGAAACACCATATGTAAACCGGCGCGCGACACACACACACACACATACACCGGCGGGCAGGCGGGGGATATCGATCACAGACACGTGCGCATGTATGTACACGCACAACGCACGCGCGCGCGCGTCAATCGAGAGCGATCACTGTGTGCACCACGTGCGTCGTCGTACGAGACGACGATCGTTCGCTCCGATCGATCGCACCCGGCACGCGCTGCTGCTGAGATTGACGCAGCCGAGAGACGTGCGAGAGAGAGAGAGACACGTGCGCGATCGGGATGGTCTCTCTTCTCAGTTCGTTCGCGACTCCGTCGCGTCGCGCATCGTCGGACACGTGCGTCGTCAGTCGCGACGCGTCGCCGTCGCCGTCGTCGTGCGTTCGAGCGGCGTGACGTCGCTCGACGGCATCGCCCGACTGCCGCTCCTTTTTCTCGGCGAAGCTGCTTGATCGGGAAGTCCGTTTTACAGACGGAGCGTTATTTCAGCGACGTGACGGAGAAGGGAGCGGAGGGCGAGACGATGTTTTTCGAAAAGCCAGTAGGAGGTGCGGCGATCACCGCGAGCCAGATTGACGGGTTCGCGCGTCCCATCGGGGAAAAAAAAAGGAGAAGGGAGGCGAACGGTGACACCGGGCGATGCTGCGATTCTCCGTACGTGGCGTGCACGCGGGGTTTCTCCGTCGATCTTCCTATTCTTCGATGACGGTGCGAGTGCCGGTCGTCGTGGTGCGCGAGCGCAGCAGCGGCTGGGTGCCTACCGGCGTGGAGCGGCGCGCACGTTTTTCCACCTCGTCGTCGTTGTCGTCGCGGTTTGCCTGTCGCTGCTGCCGCCCGTCGTGAGTCGCCCGCCGCAGTCGTCGTGCCGTTCGGGCGAGATCGGGCCGCTCGCTCGCGTACGTGACGTCAGCGACTCCCCCTCACGTCGTAAACACCAAACATGGCCGTCGTACGGATATACGCTGGTCGAGTGCGTCCCAGGCTGAACGCGTAAACTGGCCGCAATACGAGCTGCCGCGGGCCGCGGCTATGCGCAGGTAACGCGCAATGACCGTCGCGGGCCCCACGACGTACCCACGGTACGCTACGGTTCGCGAATGTCCGTATAACCGGAGCGATCGACTCGCGGCGTCTGACGCACTCTACGGATCGAGGCCGACTAGAGACGAGGTCTGCCGACCACCCCTCGCAAGCCTAGTGGACTCGCCCGATCCGTTCGAGGTAAGGTGAGGAGAGGGGGTAGAGAGGCAGAGAAAGAGTACGGCAGGGGAAGGGAGAGGCTCTCAACGGTACGCGCGGCATGAGCGCGAGAGAGAGAGAGAGAGAGAGGGAGGGAGGGAGAGAACGAGAGCGCGATTGAGTTGATCGAGGACGGGAAGAGAGGCGAGGGGGGCCGAGGGTGAGGAAGAGTAAGCGCAATGGTGGGTAGAAAAGAGAGACGGCACGACCAGGAGCACCGTCCTCGGAACAAGAAAGCCTGTGTGGTGGCCTGCCTGCCTGCCCTGTTTGCTCGTCCGCTAGCCTGCCAGCGCCAGCCAACCAGCCAGCCACCCCAAGTTCCCTTCTAGGTACGTGTATTCGCGCGCGTTTGTGTGCGAGGGCAGTCGGTGCGACGTTGCCAAGTCCTTGTCTCTCATCGATAGCACCGCACCGCCAAATGTCACTGTGTGCGCTGTACTCACCGCCACAACGATGCTCGTGAATTCGTATGCGATGTGACAATGCCGCTTGTGCGGCAGCAACGCTAATACAGTTCGCGATTTTCCACCTCCGGCGAACGAGTCGAAATCGATCGACGACGACGCCGCACTCTCTCTCTCTCTCTCTTCCCCTTTCCGTCGAACCTTCGCGCGTCTCTCTTCCTCTCTTTGGTGGCCTCGCGTCGTACCGTACAGTACACTACGTACGCGTATTCGCGCCTATAACATCCGGCAACACTGCATCCTCCTGCGACGTTCTGTCACATACACACGTACACGTTCACTATATTCGATACGCGCGGAACACAACACAGACATACGCACCAGTGCGCACGGCGATTCGTAGTAAGGCGCTGGTATCCCGGCTCGAGCACGCCGTTTCACAAAAATTTCCGAAAAACACGTCAAGTTCGAAGTGCGGAACACACACCGAGTACTAGATCCCGACACTTTTTTTTTTTCCCCTATCCTGTCTCCGTGGCGAGAGAAACGCGTGTTGCCGCAACGGATCCCGAAACGAGAGTGTCCTCTCCTGCGCGGACGGGCGCACAGGGAGAGCGTGCGCGAACAGGACGGAGATGGGGGGCCCCCCCCCCGCCACTCTGGTGCGAGCGAGACGCCACGGTCCGCGGGTGTGGCGGGGGTATATGGGGGAACCGTCTTCTCCGTCCTCGGCGTAAATAACGGGATAAAAAAACTCCCGGCGAGAACGGGCGATTGGTCGAGTCCGTAAGGCGCCACCGATGTCCCGAGCCCCACTCCTTTCGCGCGTCCAATCAGCGTCTGGTACGGCCCACTCCAGTTCCCCTCGGCGCGTCGCGAAGGCGGGCATTACCGACTAACCCATCGGTCGCATTCGGGTTCTCCCTCTCCCCTCCCCATTCTCCTCCCCTGGACGATCTCGCGTTGTGTAAAGTCTCCGGTGTTTCTCTCGTGGCGAGAGTGTCTGAACCCCCTTCCCTTCAACCGCGTCGAGAAGAGGGAGAGAGACAGAAGTGGCTTCCCCCTCCCTTCCCTTTACTTCCCCTCGCGCACGCAAGAAAACCAAACCCGAATAGCGGAGCGCGGCTACCGTGCCACCGAGGGGCCTCTCTCTCTCTCTTTCTATCTTCTCGTCGCCGAACGGCCGTGTAAAGCCGTACGAGACGCGAAGCGTCCGTGTGTACCGGCCGCGAAGGGCGGGCACATGGACGAGGGACGCGGACGGGCGACGGGGGGGGACGTACGTATAGCCGCGCGCGTGTATATAGACGCACGAGAGCGTGTATATACACGCGCGACACACATGGGTCGCGTTGCGCCGCGCCGCGCCGTCGTCGTCGTTGCCGCCGCCGCCGCCGCCGTGCTCCCCCTCCCCCCGTGCGCAGTCCCACGTCGGTGGCCGACCACCGTCGGTATTGAAATATCCTGGTTCTGGAGAGCCGAGTAAGCCGTGCGGCGATGCCGCTTCTTTTCATGACCGCTACATCGCGCGCGCGATTCTCCTCTCCCGTCCTACCTCCCTCTCTTCCCGACCGCGCACCTCTTTCCTTTTCTCTTTGTGTGTTGAGATATCTTTCCCGACTCCTGCGCTCGTCGCTGCCCCGACCTCGCAACCCTCTTCCTTTCACAACCCTCGGCGTACTCGCGCGCGCTCTCTCTCTCTCTCTCTCTCGTATCTTCTCTCCGTCGCTCCCGCGTTAAGCGCCGTTCGTTCGTACCCCCTTTCAGGGTTCCGCTTCGCTCTCTTCCCCTGTTATTCCCCCCCATCAGCCCCTCCGCCCGCTCCACCTACTCGGGCGCTCCCTCCGGCACGAGACTCGCCTCCCTTCGGAACACAATCAATCGTCGTGCACGAAACGCTGCGCAATCCCGCGAGCGATGCGTAAATTGGAAAGCGCCTGACGCGATCACACACGCGTTTCCTCGCACTTTCGGCCGCCGCCGTCGTGTCGCGCGCGCGCGCGCACACATACCGCACCGAATTGCGCAACCCTGGAATACACGCGTCGCGCGGAGTTAGATCGGCACGTAGATGGCGTGTCGCGTGTGTGAGGACGCGCGATCGCTGCTGCCCCCCCCCTCCCTCCCCCGTCTCCTCCTCCGCCTCCGCCCTGGCTGGGCCGACGTTCCCCTTTGTTCCTCGACGACGTCGACGCCCGCCGTCGCTGTCGCTGTCGCGCACGTCATTAATCGTAGCTTTTTTTTCACTGTGCCTCGCCTACTTCTTCACCTCGCGCCACGTATCGCGATGTTCCATTCTACCGCAATTACAGATAACAGAATTTTTTCATAGATACATCACAGCTAACCGTGTAATCAAATGTTACAATAAGCGTTATAAAACGTGGAACGGAGTTTCCAAACTAAATATCCGATACGCATCTACCGAATGTTCAAATTTTATTCAACTCTGTAACGAATAGTATTGATTTTTGTTGAATTGTTAATCAAGTATGAGACCAGAGTCTACTCATGTAACATGATTTTCATGGAGCATAACATGGAAGTGAGCAAGTGCTTTTATATCTTTGAGAAAAATCGAAAATATTAGTAATTATTCTAATTATACAGATTATACTTCTCGACTAGCCAAATATAAATAATGGTGTAGCGGATATTAAGATATTATATTCCGCACTTTCTATTTTTCTAGTAATCCTGTCTAATTAATTATTGCATTTGTTTTCGTACCGTTCTCAGTTTGATTTAATCTGGAATTATAAATCGATGCGTTGTTGTTCATGTTAATTCGATAAGCGCAAAAATTCGTCAATTATGGAAAACTGAACAGATTTACATGCATAAACCATAAAGCGAATGTTTCTCAAATATTCGCGTTTTATAATATTTCGGGACAGTATTATGTTAATCAATTAAACGCAACTATATTAATGTGTTATTGAAAAAAATAAGCAAGTATATGAAGCGCGCAAATTTATCGCGGTGTTATTTCAATTACGGAAACGTTTTGCTTTAAGACTCTTAAAATTACTTCGCGTGCAAAATAATAAAATTATACGAGTTTATTATGTTACGCGGAATTTTTCGATAATTAAAGGCGCGTGACTATCAACGTACAATGGATGGAAAGTTGTGTAGCGGTGACGTCGTGGAAACAAAAATTGCGACTCGGAAATACCAATGGTCTGACATAATACGCGAATTAGTTACGATATCGATTTGAACTCGTTCCATAATCTACAATGTCTACCATATCGCGACATATGCCTAATGGCTCGTGTATAGTAACATGTATTTTTCCAAAAGTAATAGACATATAATGGATTGAGCTACCGTGTCGATTTTTATCGTGAAAGACATGTGACTTTTTATTGCGAAAAACAAACTTTTTATTGCGTGTCCTTTATGCAGCCGCTACGACAACCAATGCTAAATCATTAAATATAACACTGTCCATTAAGTTGGTAAAAGGTTTTGTCGTTTCTCCATCAAGCGCTTCGTTACAAATAAAGTTGGAAGACTGAAACTTTGTGTAAAAGTCATTGAAATATTTTTTTTCACGGTGAAAACGTACCAATAAAGTTCCACGAGTTTGCTTCGATATATTTCACTGAAATTCTCAATTTATTTTAATTCAACGACAATTGCAGTTAAAACTATCACTATTTCGCAGTTTACTCAGCGATATTTGTCGATTTCTGTTACACTTTTCTACATATATTGTTTTTCTCGTACTCTTTTTGTAAGCTCGACTGATATAAAAAAAAAAAAAGGAATACGGATGAAACAAACGGATTTAAGGTATACAATGCGAATAAAAGCTGGGGAAAACGACAACAAAATAATCGCCGTGCGAATTGATATCGTTCAAAAATCGTTCGCAGTGCAAACACACGCTACAAAGGCTACTTCGTAGCCGAGAGCGAGAGGCCCTGACACGCTTCTGCCGCGAGCGATGTCGATGGCGCGCGCGTTGCCATGCCGGAAAGTCGCCCCGTGCCCTGCTTCGTAATCCGCTCTCTCGTTAAAAGTGGCCATTTAATATCTCCGGAACGACGCGAGATATCGGAATGAAACTTTTACCAGATGATTCTCTACCGTTTGTCATGCTTATTTATTTGGTCGGCGATCGGATCGCGCCGACGGTTTCCGCGTAAAATGCATTCCGAGGTTCGCGACTCCGGCGACGAGACGCATGCGCCTTACGGAGAACCGACTGATGCTTTTTTTTTCGACTTTTCGTCCGACGACTCCTGGCAGTCGAGGGACTATCACGGGATTGCGATATGCATTTATTCGAAGTATTTTATGAAGATTTAACCGATATTCGTCGGCTCATCGCGCATTCATCGTTATTCGCGCACGACAAATGAGATGGCGTCGAGAAATTATTCTCGGTACAAAAGAGTGCATGCAAACCACAAACGCGCGGAAAAGTAAACGACGCGGAAAATTTTTTAAGAATAGTGTTTACAAAATAATTGAAAATTCTAGTATGTATAATGGCAGCGTTCAACTAAAAAAGAAGCTTTGCAATTGTGTATATGCGTGTGTGGGTTGTATTTTAATATGTTTGATTCTTTCCTTTCGTATCTCACTAGTTTTAAATATATATAGCTAATTATATTAAAGAATTTTACAATAGTTACAAAACTGCTTTTCCTGCTGAACGCGAACATTATTTCAGTATTTCCCCAAATTAAAATCTTTCGTTTAGCTTTTTGAAGATTATTATTATAATAATAATCTTGTCGTGAAAAAGACAAAAGCCGATTGGGGAAAGCAATAGCTGTGTTCAACAAAGTGTTTATTTTCCAACTGTTTTCGAAAGTTTTCTTCGCGCTGATTGGATTACACTTTTATATTTGTAAATATAAAAGTGTAATCCAATCAGCGCGAAGAGAACTTTCGACGGTTACAAAATAATCATTAGGGCTGATTTTCATAATCAGATCTTATACATATTTAAGACAGTTTGAAGTACAATCTTATAACCACGTCACACTATTACTGCGAATTGAGGATTAGAATTCGCAGCCAAGCAGAACGAAACGGATTAAAATTAAAATTATCTTGTTGGTCAAATTCTAATTTCTTCATGTCATGAGCTAATCAGAGAACTGTATTATAGCATCTCAACATTTTAAAATAAAAACGAACTATGAATACTGCGCCCTTATAGAATTAAAGTATTCAATCATGCTTGTTATATTCTATGATTCGGTAGCCAGTTCTTATATTTTTAGACTGTTTTAAGTAATATGTTAAAATACTGTTGGTATATTTATCACTTCGAGAGAAATAATGAGATATCAAATGAAGCTATATTTGATCTTTTCACGCACTGCTTTAATGTAATTCAAAAATTTTACACTTGTGACTGAAAAGGCGCTCTTTCTATACCAGCATCTTAGCTGCCATCTTATAGGTAGAAGT